GCATCTTGACTTTCCTGGGCCATAGGCACCTTTGTTTTCATGGGCCCTTCCTCCATGAAGTATGTGCAGATAGATAGATAGATAGATGGAACCTTTAAATATAACTCTTTGGGTGGTATTTATTACAAAAACCATACATGGCCATAGGCACCTTTGTTTTCATGGGCCCTTCCTCCATGAAGTATGTGCAGATAGATAGATAAATAGATAGATGGAACCTTTAAATATAACTCTTTGGGTGGTATTTATTACAAAAACCATACATAATAATTGCAAACATGAACAAAAATAGATAGATAGATGATAGAGATAGAGATGAATTTACGGATATAAAATTATATTTTCTGACTGCTTTGGTATAAAGACAAATAGATTAATAAGTATATATGTATTAAAACATTGTATTTGACCTAACAGTTCTTTTTTTCCTTCTGCTTTTAACAGAAATAAAAATATTTTAATGGACCCAGCACTGCCTCTCCCTGCCTGGCACAGAAGTCGGCCCTGGGCCATGCACTTACAGAGCCCCGCTCTCTAGGGGTAATTTGGATATTAGTGCTCTGAGTTTGCTCCAAGCAGAGATGCTGGAGCCATCAGAGGCTGCTGTTGTGTGCTGCTTAAAAAATCTTGTCCTGATGTGAGCACAGGAATCCACCATGAATGTCCTGAACAGAAGCCTTGGCTGGTTACCATAGGATGGAAGCTTTTGCTGGTGCTAGCTCAGCAGACGGGCAGCTTTTCTCCCAATTTCTCAGGAACACTCCAGTTAGACATACACCCTGAACACTCCATCAGGATCACGCTTGTCTAGGTCACCCATAACTTTCACATGGCTGAACACACAGTCATTCCTCAGTCCATGCCTCATGTGACCTCTTAGCAGCATTTACATGGTCCATCAATTCCTCCTTCTGTGGCTTTGGGAGCACATGCCCCTGGCTTCCCTCCATGCCTCCTCAGTCTCCTGTGCTGTTTGCTCCCTTTGCCCCTGACCCCTTGACATTGCAATGTTCCAGGGCTGAGTCCTTGGGCATCTCCTCTGCCAACCCTCCTTTAGTGACCTCACCAGAATCATGGTCCTCAATCTCCTTCTTGCAGATTTATTTGCCTTATTATCCATTTCCTGCTAGAATGTCAGTCCCATGGGGGTGAGATATTTGCTTTGTTCACTGATGTGTCTCCTGGGCTAGGACAGCGGCTGCCACATATTAGGTACTCCATAAATATTTGCTGAATGAATTGATAAATGGTCGCCAAAGCCAGTTGGGAATGACAAGATCTCAAATTATATTTGCCTTTTTAAATGCTTAGTTGAGTGGGACTCACAAGAGTTTTAAATCCAGGCAAACCTTGTTTTGAATCTGCCCCTCCTCCTCTGGGTGACCTTGGATAAGCATCTCTACCTCTCTGGGGCTCAGTTTCCTCATCTTGGGGATAAGAACATCTGTCTGCAAATGTTTGGCAGAATCCTACTAGACGGTATGCAGAAAGCTCTGGGTCTGATGCCCTGCATGGAGTACATTCCCTCAACACCTTAAATGATGGAATCATATTCTTCATTGCCATCAACATCCTCATCCTCATAAGTAAATTTGCAACACTTTGCAGCAGATGACAAACCTCTGCACGCACATTATCTCTCCCAATCATTGAGGTGGAAATTCTGGAGAAGGAGGGGCCAGCGGTGACGCCCTTCCCATTTTACAAGCACATCCATTTAGACTGTGAGAGGTTTGCTCAGTGTCACACAGGAGCAAGTAGGGATACTCGGACTTGAACTTGTGGCTGACGGATGCCAAGGCCCTTGGTCTCATTGCTCCAGCTTGATGTCTTGCTCTCCCCTCGCCCCTCCCTCTCCCACTAACCCAACCCATCAGCAAGTGCTGTGGACTTTACCTGAGAAGTACCTCCAAAGTCTGCCTACCTCCCTGGGTCAGGCCAGCTCCCCTGTCACCTGGTGGGCCACCTTCCTACTGTGTCTCCACACTGCAGTCTCGGTGAACTTCACCGAACATGAATATGAGCATACCTCCCACTGCCTAGAATCCTTCACAACTTCACATTGCTCTAGGGTTAAGAGCAGTGTGTTTGCATGGCCCGCAAGGGCCTCTGTGGTCTGAGTCCAGACAGCATCTCCACCCTTGTCCTGCACTGTGCTTCCTGCTCTCTGTTAGATTTATCTGCATGTATCTCCTCCAGCTCCTGCAGAAATTAGATCTGCCTGGGGCACACCATCAGAGTGCAGTCTCAGGATCACTGTACACATATATGCTTGCCTATGAGCTTGTCCACTGTCTCTGCCCCATGAGGACATGGGCAATACCAGGCTGGCTCACTACTATATAGAACAGTACCCAGCACACAATAGCTACTTAATGTCTTTGTTGAATGTGTGAATGAATGAATGAATGCATAAACAAATGAAAGCACACACAGGCACATGCATGTACATTTCTGCACTCAGAGCCTCTGTGCAGGTCTTGTCAGGGCTTTTCCTGCAACTGACAAGGATAGATTCCAACACCCATGCAGGACTCAGCCTCCACCCCCATACCCTTGCTCCCTTACCTTCAGCCCCAGCTCCTTTCTTCTCAAAGGCTGCAGACAGACGCTCAAGCACCTTGCTTTCACTGGAGCCCTCTATCCGGACTTCCTCATCCAAGACCCAGAAAAGGCCCCTGGGATCTTCGGCTCCCCCTCCAGCTGATAAGCGAACCTGGTGGGAACCCAGGATACACTGAAGGTCCTTGATCCTGACCGAGGCCAGTCCTGGGCTTCTCTTTCCACTGATGGGAATGGGGGTATCTGAGTCCCAGGCATCAGGACTGGGACCCATGTTCCCAGGCATCAGGACTGGGACCCATGCCTGGACCCATGTTCCCATTCACCCCCAGACTCTCAGTGTTGAAGCCACAAAACTGCAACAACCTATTGGTTGCAAGGGGTGTGAATCCTGCCTGTGTATTCACCTCCTGTGTGATCTTGGACAACTTACTGCACCTCTTGGAGCCTCGTTTCCTCCTGTGTAAGATGGAGATTGGAAATACTTTCCTCAGAGGGCTGTAGTGAGGCTTTAATAAGGGGAATCCTTTGTAAATTTCTAGATATGCACAGGCAGCTGTTCTATTTGCACACAGGCAAACATGAAAGGATTAATTCCATCCTCATCACTTCCTCTTAGAAGTCTTTGTATTTTTTTTTTAACTAAAATCTTGAGGGGGAAAAAAAACGAGCACTCAAAGAACATTTCAAAGGAGAAGGTGAACTTGATTCAATAGCATAGACACAGAATTTTAAATCCAGCCACAAGCTTCAGAGACCATCTAGGCAAACCTATATTTTGCATATAAGAAACAGAGAGAGTCCTGGGGAGTTTAAAGGGCTTATCCAAGGGCCCACAAGGAGTCAACACAACCAAAAACAGAGCCAAGTAGTTATGGAGGAAATGCAATAGTCCCATTGTGCCTGGGACACAATGCTTTCAGAGCTAAAACTGGTAATGTCCTGTGCAAACCAACACAGTAGGTCACCCTAACTGGGAAATATTGGTCCACACCATTCAGAGGCCCAGAGAGGGGAAGGGATGCGTTCAGGGTCACATGTACAAGTGCAGAGCTGGAACTGGATCCCAGGTTTCCTGGGCCTTCATCTTGACCTTCTTTATTGGGGTTGAAATTCATAGCTGGCCTGTCTTCAGAAGGTAGTCGTTTGCAGCCACAGCCCAGTGGTCCTGGGTACTATACCACCCTTCCCGACACATACTGCTGAATCAACCCCTGCAGGCCCGTCCCCTCCAAAGAGAGGCACAGGTGAGGATGCTCGGTGGAGAGGCAGAATGAGCCAGAGAGATGCCAACAGGAAGCACAGATATGGCATACGGCCGGCAGAGCTTACTAACAAGGGAGCTTCACAGTGACAAGAGAGGCACAGGTGAGGATGCTCGGTGGAGAGGCAGAATGAGCCAGAGAGATGCCAACAGAAAGCACAGATATGGCATACGGCCGGCAGAGCTTACTAACAAGGGAGCTTCACAGTGATGGGTGCAGCACACTTGGGCTGAGAGAAGACTTGAAAACACCCCTGGTGCACGGGGGACAGGGAATGAGGAAAAGGGCAGCCTGCAATGTCAAATGGCAGGAGGAATGCCAGCAACTGCTGGACACCTCCTAAGTGCCAAGCACCAGGCCAGGTGCTTTATGTGCAAAATCTCATTGATATTCATAACCACCCAGGGGAAAGGATCATTTCCATTTTGAAGATAAGAAAACTGAGGTTCAGAGAGGTGAAGTGACATGCTCAAGGTCACCAAGATTGCACCCAGGCAGACCAGGTTCCACAGCCTAAGTACTTTCACACCAAAATGTGAAGGAGAAAAAAAGTCAGGTAAAATAGTCAAGGTCAATGGTCAGTTCTGGCATAAAGTTGAGCAGAGGTGAGGGTCTGGGGTCAGCAAAGTGGATTCTAGGGATGGGGAGAGTGAGGTAGAGACTCAGGCCTCCCCAAAACTAAAGCCTGTCTGCCCTCAAGGGAGTTCAGGGGCCTGGACCCAATATTGTTCTCTATTCTCCATCCCCTGAACTCCCCTCAGCTCAGACCACAGACTCCCAGGTGTGAGTCCATCCTAAGATGTAGACTCAGACATAAAGGAGAGCAGTGGATCTCCACCTGAGGACACTTCAGCCACCAGTTTTCCAGGCCACGCCCCCAAACCCATCAGCACAGAATCTGGGTATGGTCCCTGACGTCGGTGTTTCTTACAATCCCGGAGTGATTCTAGGTGCAGACAGCATGGAGAACTACAGCTTAAAGACTCAAACCTGCTGGTATTTCAATGAAAAGCCATGTGGCATGTGAAAACCTTGGTTTGCTGGGCCCTGTGTTACCTGGGAGGGATTCTGATCCACAACAGCCACAGTGGTCCCTGGGGAGGGCTCCGGGAGGTCAAAGTGCACAGGAACACCTTCCTGGAAAATCAGAGGATTTAAAAGTGAGTTCCTTCAGGGAGCTGAATTGGGTCAGAAACTTCTGGAAGAGGAAACAGTAGTGAGGACTTTCATCACCATTCAGCCTTTTTTAAAAATTGTGGTAAAATAAATACAACATAAAGTTTACGTACCTTAGCAATTTTTTTTGTTTGTTTGTTTGTTTGTTTTTGTCTTTTTCCATGTCCGGCAATGGATCGCAACCCTCAGTGTTGCCCCCATACCGGACCAGGGACTGGCAACGGGATTGCAACCCTCGGTGTTGCTCCTGCGCCTCGCTCAGCCAGTGAGCGGGAACCGGTCTGTATGTGGGATCCGAACCCTCGGGCGGGAGCGCAGCCGCGCTTCCCAAGCGGCGCACTATCTAGTGCGCCACCGGGCCGGCCCTACCTTAGCAATTTTTAAGCGTATAGATCAGAGGTATTAGGTCCATTCACACTGCTGTGCAACCATTACCAGCATCCATCTCCACAACTTTTTCATCTTGGGAAACCAAAACTCTACACCCATTAAACGACCCCCCATTCTGGTAACTCCTTTTCTCCGCACAACCCTGGTAAATACTGTTTTGATTTCTGTCTCTATGAATTTAACTACTCCACATATCTCCTATGAGTGGAATCATACAACATCTGCCCTTTTGTGACTAGCTTATTTCACTTAGTATAATGTCCTCAAAGTGCCCGCATGTGTCAGAATTTCTTTCCTTCTTAAGACTGAATAATATCGCATTGTATTATATACCACATTTTGTTTATCTATGTGTCCGCTGATGGACACTAGATTACCTTCCCCTTTCAGCTGCTGTGAATAATGCTGCTATAAATGGGGGTGTACAAATTTCTCTTCCAAACTCTATTTTAATTCTTTTGGGTGTATACCCAGAAGCGGAATTGCTGGATCATATAGGAATTCTATTTTTAATTTTCTGAGGAACCACTACACGGTTTCCTATCACAGCTGCACTGGTTTACACTCGTACCCACGGCGAGCAGAGGTTCCAGTTTCTCCACATCCTTGTCAACATCTGCTGTTTTGTGTTGTTTGTTTTGTTTTGTTTTGATAGTAGTCATCTTAATGGGTGTGAGGGGGTATCTAATGTGAGTTTGATTTGCATTTCCCTGGTGATTAGAGACATAGAGCATCTTCTCATGTGTTTATTGACCATTTGTATATCTTCTTTGGAAAAATGCCATTCAAGTCATTTGCCAGTTTTTAATTGGGTTTGTTTTGTTCTCATCACCTCTTAGCCTCTGTATGAAAAGAAAGGCTGTAGACCAAAGTTCCACTAACATCCTGATATTGTTTATCACTCAGGGTCACCAGCAATCATCAGGGCTTTAGCAGAAACTGATAATTTGGTACAAACTTTTAAAATATTTATTAAGTACCTAATAAGTGCTGGGCTGAGTGCCTGTGCTGAAGGGAACAAGCATAAACTGTGAATAATAATAGCTGCCATTGAAAGTAACCAGAAATGTCCAGACAACTGTGTGCACAAAGATGTTCATCACATCATTGTTCATAATCCCTCAAACTTGGAAATCACCCAGATCCCTAAAGGAGACTTGAGATAGAACTGGACATAATCACTGAAATGCACATTTACAATTTGTAAATGGAGTGAGGAAATGTAATGCTGTGAGAAAAATAGACAACAGAGTCATATATATGTACAGAAAGACAGGAAATCTGTAGAGAAGACAATGTATGTGGAAATGGCTGGTAGAAAATACAGAGGGCAGTAACAGTGGTTGCCTCTGGGTGGTGGGAATAAAGAAAATTATGTTTTCTGGTTCTTTACACTTATATGCACTTTCCTTTTTAAAATAAAGAACTTGTTACTTTGGTTATGCAAAAATAAGTGAAATATTATAGGGAAAAATATGATAGCTGCTACCATATATTGAATGCCTAATACAGACTAAACATTTGCTATCCTGCTTCATTAAACACTCAAAACAGCCCTTTTAGGAAGAGTGGCAGAAGTGATTTTAAAAACAACCCTAGGTCTCCACCCTTCCCTTACCCACGCTCTTTGCAGAGTGACACCGCAGCTTCTCCATCAAGAAGTGCGGCCTGTTTTCCTACCCCTAGACTCAGGGCTCAGCCTTGGACTTGCTGTGACCCGTTGAATACAGTAGAGTGACCCTGTACTAGATCCAAATCTAGGCCTCAAGGTGTCCTGCTGCTACTCACTGTCTTGGAACCCCGCCAGCACCGTGAGAACAGCCTGAGCTAGCCTTTTGGGGGAAGAGACATTCAAGCAGCAGAGACAAGGTCATTCCCTCTAAAGCCTGCCTGGATCAGCTCATGGCCAGCTGAAGCCCAGACACAGGAAAGAGCTCAGCCAAGATCATCAGAGCCACCTCCCCAACCTACATCTAACCACAGGCCCAAGAGCTAACCCAGCCAACACCAGAAAGGCTGCCCAAGCTATCCAGAGACTTGCGAGCATAACCAAAGGGTTTTTTAAAGCCACTACATTTTGGAGGTAGTCTATGATGTAGTCTAATGTTGCAAATGGCAACTGATACAGGAGTTTTATTATCTCTGTTTTCCATGGGAAGAAATTGAGGGTAAGAGAGGGAGAGTGACTTTCCTAGGGCTACACAGTTAATAAGTGACAGAGCTAGGCTCAGACACCAGATGTCATCAGCATCATTTGTTTGAGATTTATCCATGTTGATGCTTTTATTTTTATTGCTGTAAGGGCTCCAACCAAGGAATTGACCATAAATCCAATAACTATTATCCTAGGTATGAGTAATATGACCATGTCTAATATTTTGCCATTAGCACTTGCTAGAATCAAAATGGTCACCTTCAGGAAGTAGGTAGTCGATATGGAGTATCTGGGGTACTGGCAATGTTTTCATTTTTATCTGGGTGATCGATACAAACATATGTTCATTTGGACAAATTCATTGAGCTGTGTACTTCTGATTTATGCAATTTTCTATGTCAACGATATATTTCAATTTAAACATTTTTTAATGAGAAAAGGGGTGCAGGAACATGCCTGTACATGTTTCCTGGTTCATACACATAGAGTTTCTCTAGGTCACCTAGTGGAAGAGGGATTGCTGGGTTAGAGGGCACATGCATCTTCAGTGGTGTTAGAAATTGCCACGTTGTTCTCCAAAGGAGTTTGTAACCCACTGTTTCCACCCAACAACAGAGCATAAAGGGCTTTCCACTCTGGGGAAGATACAGACTAGTGCTTGGAGAAGGCTTTAGCTTGGGTGAAGTGGGAGAGGAGAAACAGATCATCCCAAAGAAAGGACAGCTGTGGGAGCAGGGCCTGGGGAAGCCCACGTTCCCTGGTGTGTCTGGACTGTGGGGTACAGGAGGCAGGGGACGGAGACTGGGCTGCAGAGAGAGAACAGCAGTGAGGGCTTTGTTCCATGGTGAACCAAGGAGGGTAAAGCTGAAGGCTACTGGAGGACGGAAATCCCACTGCACCCTGCCTGACCTCACTCCCTCTGCTGAGCCCTGGTGAAGGCCCCACTCCGGCCCAGCCGTACCTCTCGGTATCGCTCCAGCGTGGAGACAAAGGTCCGCTGGTAGAAAAGCAGCTGCAGGCGCTCGTGGGTGTAATTGTGGCACAGCTCCTCGAAGGTGGCCGCCCGGTCCTTGCCCTGGTGCCGGGGGTTCTGAAAGCCTGGAGAATCCACCACCATGATGGAAGCCATGGAGAGATGGTGGGAGGAGAAGGATCTAGGGAGAGAAGGGAGAGGCCTCAAGATGACATGGAATCTGAGAGCCCGCTGGTCCAAGCCTCCCAGGGTCCCATCACAGAAGTGGAGAAATGGAGGCAGTATACTGGGTGGGTTTGGACATCCAGCAGATCTGATTTCAGAACCAAGCTCACCACTTACAGGCTGTGTGACCCTGGGAAAGTTACTTAACCTCTCTGAGCTGAGTTTCCCCAACTGTCACATGATGATGGGATGAGTAGGCTGATCCCAATGGCTACAATAAGGACTAAGGGAGTTAAAGTGCAGGAAGTGCCTCCCACAGTGCACGAACACAGCAAGCTCTCAGGAAATGTGACTTCTCCACCTGGGCCAGAGTGGAGAAATGACTAGCTTAAGGTCATCCGGCAAGTTAGCTACAAAGCTGGGACAAGAGTCTACTTTTCTTTCCCCAGTGACACATTGTAATAGAAGAACACTTCTGCTTAGTGCATCAGTTTACAAGGATCACCTCCTTGGATCCTCTTGGTGAATGGGGCGGGGTAGACAGAGCAGGGATTATTCACAACAAAATTCAAGAGTTAAGAGACTTTGGAGCCAGTTACACATGGATTTCCACCCTCGCTCTGCAATGGAGAGGCTGTGTGTTTTGGGAGTGTTATCCAACCTCCCTGAGCCTCAGCCACCTCAGCCACGAGAGGGTAAATGATAGAGACCAGCTCCAAGGGCTGTTAGGAGAACTGCACATGCTGTGAATGTGAAGTTTGTAGTGTGGTTAGTGCTCAGTAAATGTTATCCGCTATTATTACCGTTCTCATGATCAGCTATCAACTTTGGAGGGCCTTCAGTTTAAATCTTGGTGCTCCATTACTCGCTGACGTTTGTCATCTGTAAAATGGGGTCCGTAAAAGCAGCCACCACATAGACATGCATGAAGGTTAAGTCAGTTGGTTCTTGGGAAGCCAGGTGCCTACTAGGTGCTCATAAGTGGTGGTAGTGGCTATTGTTATTGTTAGTACACCTATTTTACAGATGTGGGCTACAAGAACCCAAACCCTGAAGCAGCTTTGCAGGCTGAGGCAGCTGCTCTGCCAGCAGTTCATTTCCACTCCCAGAAATCCCTCCTCGAAGCGTGCATGATCCCCCTGGTTTCTAGATAATGTGTCTGTGTCTCAGACGGTAACTACTCCAGCAGCAATAGAGGGAGTCGACTGTATGTCTGGAACGACTTGGAGATTGCCGGCTGCTCTGTTGCTACGCACCAGCCTCATCCTTTCAACAGGATTTCAGAATCCTGATTATGCTTCCTGCTCTCATGGAGGAGGGAGGGAAGCCCTTGCCTCTGTTCTGGATCTGCTTAAAGTGTTTCCAAGGAGGAGCTCAGAGCGTTGTTGGTGATAATGGAAAACAGAAGCTCCGAGTAGCTGCAGCCCTACAGGTGCACTTCAGAGACACTTCTGGCTCACTCTGAGATTCCACTGTGGTTGCTCCCATTCCCAGTAGGAAAATTTAGAAAAATAAATGGATGAGAGCATTGTGCTGGATCGTTCAGGGAAACTTGAAGGTACAAGATGGAGTGCAGCGTTGTGTGTGCCTCTCAGCTCCACCCCTCTGCGACTCAGTTTTCTCACCTGAACCATGGGGTGATGTGAGTATAAAATATGATACAAGGCGAATTGGACAATTAGTGCAGTTCCTGGCCTGTAGTAGGCACCCAAAAGTCATTAGCTTTATTATTAGTATTCTTACAGTCACTATTAGGAAGAGTTATTTTACGGATGCAGAAAGGGAGGACAGAGAGGTGAAATGATTTGGCAAAGTCATACAGCCAGTGGGTGGCCAAGTGAGACTTTAAACCCAGAATTGTCCATGTTAAAAACCTTCTTGTCAGCTCAAGCAGTATCATTCTGCTAAACTGCTTTGTGCTTGAGCTTGTTTGTGTATCTTCAAGAGGCTGCTTTGTGCCTGAGAAAAGGCCCCTGTTACCTGTTGATAAGGGAGACCACGGCCGCAAAGAGCTCTTGGTACAGGCCCGAAGCCATTCCCTCCACACACTCCACACCCGTCATCTTGAGTCCTGGAGCTGGAAGAGAGAAAAGGCTCAGCATCCCATGGTTAGGAACGTGCCCAGGGCCAAGGACATCACTACAGAACAGCAGGGGGTCACTCAACTCAGAAAATCTCCTGTGCTGGGCCGGCCCGGTGGCGCACTGGAGAGTGCGCCGCTTGGGAGCATGGTGGCGCTCCCACCGGGGGTTCGGATCCCATGTGGAGACCGGTTCCCGCTCACTGGCTGAGCGCAGTGCGGGCGCAGCACCAAGGGTTGCGATCCCATTGCTGGTCCCCAGTACGGGCGCGACACCGAGGGTTGCAATCCATTACCAGTCAGTAAAAAAGACAAAAAAAAAGAAAGAAAATCTCCTGTCGCCTACAATATCCTGATGCTGAAATGATGTACCCACGTTCGTAGGACAAAGTCCAAATGTCTTACCGGGACCTGCAGGATCTCCGTAACCACCCCTCCAAAGTACTCTCTTGCTCATTCCTCAGGGTTCAGCCTAACATCGCCTCCTCAGGGAAGCCTTCCTTGACTCCCACCACCACCTTTAGGCCATTTCCCAGCTTCGCCCTGCTTTTATAGCACTTACCATAGCATAATCTTTACTCATGTGGTGATTTTATTAACCCGTGTCTCCCACATGACCTGGGGAGTTCCCTGAAAATGGGGAAAGTCTCTGGGGTCTGGCCTTTAAATCTCCAGTGCCTGGCACATAGTAGGCAGTCAGTAAGTGTTTGTCATTCCCTTTTTCTGGAGGGAAATTTGCCAGTTTCATATCAGAAGCCATAAAATGTTCATATACTAGGACTTAATCATTTCTCCCCTAGGCTTTCATTCTAATGAAAAATACAGTGAAACAAAGATTTCTGGGTACATAAATCCGATTGTTAAGTTGGCAAAAAACACTTTTTTGAAAGGACTTGAATGTCCAACAATAGCAAATGGGTTAGATAATTTACAGTCCATCCATACAAAGAAACGCTTGAAGTCAGGTATAGAAGAATAGTGAATGAGGTTGGAAAAGTGTCTACCTATAATGGGAGGAGGAATAAAAAAGCTTACGAAACTAAATCACAGTTGTGATCTCAATCTTCTTTAAATGTGCACGCACACCCACACACATGCACGCATGTGTATGTGTGCACCTCATTAAAATAGCCAGCCTTGCATTGAACAAAGTGGGGTGAGGAGCGTGGGGAGTCAGGTCTAAATCCTCACCCTTAAGTTTGATTCCATGCATGGAATTGGAAACAGAATTTCCAAATCTGCACACACTAGAGCCTGGAGAAATAGTTCTGCATGTATATTAGAGGCAGCCCACTGCAGCCCCAAAAGCATTTCCCATCCCTCCTTTAACTCCACCCACAACCTAGGCTGTTGCTAGGCAACCTGCAGCCTCCCAGTATCTCTCTTAAGCCTGCCGGTCCCCTGCCTGCTTAGTGTCTACCCTTGGGACCTCAGCCTGCGAGGTTGATTCAGACTCACAAGGATGTGTGTGTGTATATGTCTGTGATTCCATGTGGCGTCTGCATGTGCCTGTGCCTGTGTGTGGTGTGCATGTCCATGTGTATTGTGTGGTGTTTGTGTGTGCATGTGTGTGATTGTGTGGTGTGTGCCTGTGGATATGTGTGATGTGTGTGCACATGAATAGGTGTTGTGTTTCCGTGCACACATGTGCTGTGTGCATGAGTTTGTGCACATGTTTGTACAAACACAAGTGTGCTATGCATGTCTGTGCATGTGTGTGGTGTGCATGTCCATGTGTATTGTGTGGTATTTGTGTGTGCATGTGTGTGATTGTGTGGTGTGTGCCTGTGGATATGTGTGATGTGTGTGCACATGAATAGGT